TAAAATCTTGTTCTTCTGAATCTTATAAAGCCCCTTGATTATTTGCGTTTCCATATGGCATATAGTTTTGTATTTCGTGTAAGGAGTGCTTGGAAGCTTAAAATTCAAGGCGTGAAAATACCTCCTAATCAGTGAACCACTATACACACAAGAAAAGGCGATCAAAAGTGGAAATTTAAAAAATATCAACAATGCCTTTTGCTTAGCTCTCAATAGTTCTCAATGGAAATAGAAGTGAATAATATGGAAATTGATTCTATTTTAGAAAAATACAAAATCTATTAAGGATGGATTTTATTGCAAAATGGATTTTGTGGAACGCAGTCAACAAAATAATCTTGATTAAAAAGGGATTTTAAAGTTAAAATATAACTTCATACTTGTCACTTTACTTCTATTAAGACTATCAACTTTAACGTAAATTGTTTTATATTTTAATTCGTTATATTTTTACGATTGTAAAGTCTACTATCCATTTCCAATTGAAAATGGGAGAGATTTTCAGCTGGTCTAATATTTAATGATGATCAAAAACGAGAAATAGATGCAACAGTGCAACGAACATTTGTAAAAGTAATCGGATTTTAACAAATCAGACCCAAGCAAGTGCAATGGAATGCATAATGAATAAATTAGCCACTCACATTCAGGAACTTCAACACCCAACCCCTCCCCTCCTCCCTCCTCCGAACACACACCCCCCTACCCCAATCGTATTTCACAGCGGACAGTGGGTTAGAGCTCGCACACGCGCTCTGACCAATCAGAACTTTGTGGGCGACAGTGCGAGTGAAATATACGAGAAAAGACGCTGCCTTATTAAGACATAACATTTGCCGAGTTGGAAGAAATCAAACGTGTAAGAGACATATGTATGTAACTAATTTCTCTTTATAAAAATGAAATAAAATGTTTTCAATTATTACGCACTCATCCATGACAAAATTAGTTATTTTTTCACTTTTATAGTTGTAGCCAATAAAATGTCTCTCCTTTCACAAAAAATGGCTGATTTTGGCAACTGTTATCCATTTTTCATTCAAAATTCTATATTGAATCCGCAGTCAACGGTGTTTACTCCAGAGCAGATAAATGCAATCAAAGCTGCCTCAGCATCGTGCAGTCTCTTTGCCTCCTTAATATCCCACTCAGGTAAAAAACAGCCAACATCAATACCTCTACCACTTCCAAATCCATATCATTCGTCAGGCCTTTCAAGATCAGGAAAGAGTACTAATCAGCCCAAGAGGTCTTCATCGTCACTCTTTAAACGTGGAGCTCGAGTAAGACTTGTAGACGGAAGCATTCAGAAGGTAGAAGGACTTAGAACTGTTGATTTTATTCGAGCTGCCAAGTCAACGGGTACTGAATCGAACCTGCAATGGGTGGAAGTGAATACTATTCTAAAAGAAGATTTTCCTCTGAATACACCACGTGGCCAACTGTGTATCAGATTCTCACTTAATATCAATAAATGTCGTGAAACTTGCAGCAGTCCTCTATCATTTTTGGTAAGAAAATTAAAAATATTCAGTTTGGCGTTGGAACTAAAAAATAAATATCAATTACAATGAGAAGTAATTAGTAACTACTGCGAAGAACTGGACCAAAAGGAGGCAAACCATGTTCTTGAAAAAACAAGAACCACAATAAACACGATATTCACGAACATGAAGATATAATAATGATGTTACTGTCCACACCTATCCATTTTCCTTCATTTACCATGCCTTCAAGTTATAAATTTGTTGACGGCTCTAAATTCGGGATCCAGTCTGAGATTGCGTATGTTTGAGCAACACTAACACCAGTCCTTGGTACATCGCATTTTCAGATATGTTAGGTCAGTTCATTATGGAATTCCAAATTCAATTCAATTAGTGCATCATTAAAACTGAAGATTATTGGCATACCTAAGATTTTGAAGTCTTGATTATAACTCTCTTTCAGCCTCCAATTACTCTGAATTACCAATGCAGCAAAGAACAGCCATTCTTCGTACAGTCCCATGGCTGGTCTTCTTGTGATCCACAAAGTACTCTTTCTCGTTTTGGATTACCATGTCGTCCACTTTCAGTTGGAGATCATTGTCTCGTGGTTGTTCCTTCAGAAATTGCAAAATTAATTTCTTCATCAGCTCAGAGGTCTCTTGCAGATTTCATGACTTCCCCAAATCCATTTCTCTTCAATGCAAAATTGAAGGATATGTTTCCGAATTTTCCTAATTGCGTCAATATAAAGTAAGTTGAGCAAATAAATCACTACCTAATGACGACCATTATTATTAGAGCTGCAGCTACAGAGGACATTTCAAAATTTTGAGTCTTGTTTAAATAAATGTAATTAGTAAGCAGTAGAGTCAAATAACGGGTACTGGAAAATGGACCTAAATGGCCCAGAGAATAAAGGCCGCACATACAATAGGTCGGTTTCTTTTAATTTCTTATTCTGTTTGAAAAAGAATTTACTTTCGATTTATTTCATGACCCAGAGTGTCGAAATTCTAGTTAAATAATTTGTCGTAAGAATTACCAACGAAATCTTTTCCATGATCTCCGTTGTTTTTTGACCAACATATTAATTGGAATGTTTGACCGCGTCATTTCAATTGTTTTTTTTCTCAATGGCCTAAAATTGATTCGAAATTTTGCATATGTTAACACTTTTCCATATTCTTAAATTCGAAGGCATGAATATGTGACTATCTTATCACAATTTGGAGCATTTATATCAACCAAACAATATTATTGCTAGCTAATGTCTTTACCAACGAAGTCAATTCAGGTTCGCCTCGAGAGTAAGAAACCATGAAATCAGTTTACATTTTTCTTCAAATATTTTGAGCAGATGTGAATGTGATATTCGAGCGTTAATCAGAAGGCGTTAATGTAAAGCCTGGTTAACTTTCAGCCTCCTCAACGAAACAGACATCTTTGCTTCCCACCCACAGCAGCCTCTGGATCTGAAGACAAAAGAAGGAGCGAAATCGTCTCCGGGTAATGTACCTGAGTATTTCTCTGCCGCCTCACTGGCTGAATCACCATTTAAGGATGCATTTTGAGGCATCCACTGCGAACCAGACCACGACATATCATATTTCGGAAGTTGTAAAATTTCGCTTACTATTTTGAGAATGTTAAGTTGTGTATTAAACTTTTCATGTAATTGCCTTTTATTATCTTGGCATAATAATTTGAAAAGAATGCATTCCTAAGTAAGGGCATTTAATCTAAAAGATCATTTTGCGCCTCACTATGGTTGGCAAGTAGGTTGCGTTTTATCATCTTCAAGGCATTGCAACTCATTGAAATGAGTAAAGAATTGTTGTAAAAATAGCGAAACTGGAAAAATTCTAAAGAGAAATATTCAAATATAAAAGTTTTGATATCAAAGAAAATTTCGCTCATATTGTTGCTAGCCTCATTGTCAAATCGAAAGGCCAACTGCATTAGTAACAGTTACAAGGGCTTTGTGTGTTGTGTGCTTTCCTTTGCTTGGAATGAGTTTAGAAGTACTCTTTTCCAAGTGCTGTTGGACATTGCCTAAATTGGAAAAATTGTGCTTCTGAATTTTTTGCTTAAATGGGTAAATGTGATTCAGAATTTATAGAAACATAATAACAAGATGGTATGAATATGGTTTTAGATAATTATATTTATTGAGATAGCAATTTCTGCGAGTTAGATAGGGCTTAAACCTTTTTAATAAATTTAATTCATTTGAATGATTAGTTACTATTGAAGTTATTCAAAGTAGGAAATGATCATCACGACTTCATGGTCCCACTGATTATAGTTATTTTACCCAATTAGGGTCAATCATCCCACTAAATGACTTTTTTGAGTAATTTCAATGAAGAATTTGCCTCCTTTGCACGTTGACCACGAAGTATAGAAGATTGGTCAGTAGAAATGCGAATTTTAATTTCTTGAATTCCACAGAGACAAGAAGAACAGTGGCGCCTATTGTTATACTATAGGCACACGTTCCGTGGATTTATAGGAGCGCCAATAAGTAAATCTGCTCTAAATTCCTTTCTTTCGAAGTAATCATGTAAACAATTCCATTAAAGACGATGCTTTGTGTTTCTTATCCCATAAATCTCCAATTACCGATGTCACCTGCCCAAGTTCCACTGCATATAGGAGCGTATATATGCA